TCGCTGGTAGGTTAGAGGCCATCGCTAGTAGGTTAGAGGCCATCGCTAGTAGGGTGTCTTCCGTGCAGGACGTCGATCCACTCGACGCCCCGGTTTCGTCCTCTCGATGTTGTCCGCCTCTGTAGCCATCTTCTCCGGCCATGGGAGGAATCCATCGGTTTGGCCACCAAAGCGTACAATCTGGTCCTCCAACACATGGAAGTGTTTTGGGTGTCTTTTGAGCGTCTTTATCTGGATGTTTCGAAGGTTAGCTGCATGTTTATTTGCCTGGCTTTATCTGGCCTGGATGCCCTGCTGCAGCTTCACCTTTTCAGCAAATATGTAAACATGCACAAAAAACAAAAAGGCCCCAGCTTGCTAGCTTGCTGTGGTTGTCAGGCAAAGTGAAGAACTCTGACAAACACATACCAAGTGAGCGAGGCCATTTTGGTAGGGTGACATCACCTCAGTCATATTGATCCATATGACATATCCCTGGCCGAGAGCTGTTCAAACGTTTTTGTAACTTAAGTACGTGCTTTCTTTTCTGTTTGCTTTCCTTTCTTGCTCCCAGTGCCCTCCCTTTCTTTTCCGGATGGTCGACCACTAGGTCAACCTTGGAAGAAGAACCCGGAAGAATTGTGGATTAGCAACAGGCTCTCCTTGGCCACTGGATGAGCAAGCGCTGGTTCAAAGTTCTTGATGCCTTGCTGCGTTGCTCCGCTCTGCTTCGCGAAGCTGAGCTCGGGCATAGTTGGTGGCATGGAGCGCTTTCAAAGTGCCACAGGTCCGTATGAGGCCTTCAAACCCTTTGACCACGAGCTTGCAGTTCCCAGAAACAAACAAACATGGCCACATGGTGATGTGTTGTAGCGCCCCCATACCGCACCAACAAGCATTAGACATACCACCAAATCACGTGTTACAGTGGCACTAGGGGCTTGTTGCTGCAACAAGCCCAAAACCGCATCCTCGGCCTTTGCTTGGTCATCTATGGCTGACATCCCGACCCACCCGATAACTCCCGAGAAACTTTCTACTAGGAGCAAGGACGCTACTAGTAAGTACTAGGAAGAAGAGGCTACTATGAGCGAAGGGCATTTTTACTAGGAGCAAGGACGCTCTGAAAAAAACAACGAACAAAAACGAACCAAACACGATCGATTCAGCGATCGATTCCACGATCTCGTCCCACGATGGCCCAGGCCTCCGGCCAGACCGATGTCACCTTCTTCAAAATCCACTTTTTCATCCAAGTTCAATGAGTTCATGAACTTGGCCCAGCGTGTCATCTTCACCGCCTGGTGACACATGAAAAGAAAGCAGTCTGAGAAAAACATATGGCCGAAGACCCTGTTGGGTGCACATGGAGCCAACGGCCCACATGGAAAACCAACATATCTTTGAGGCATCATGCTTCGGCGATGTTTCTCCTCCTAGTGAGTCAGCTCTTCTGGGGTCTGCATTCTGAACGTTGCAAAGAGTCACCTCCAATCGAGAAGCAATCAGGCAGCATGCGAGTCTCTCAACGACGCATGTCCCTTCAACCCGTTTAAGGTCCCGTTTCAAGGGACACGCGTCTCTCCGTCACTCTCTGGAGTCGTCAGACACTCTCGTATCACGAGTCATTTGTTTTTGCATGTGAGGCCCATGTCAGTGCGCCTTAAATGTCTCGATGATGATCTCGCCCCGAGCCAGCCTGTTTCACATGTTTCACAAGGCTTAGCTCTACACTGTGGATAGATCTTATTGAATCACTCATGCTGAATAAATCCCCCAAGCCTGGTATGTGAACGACCATCCGGGTAGGGGGGTTCTATTTATCAACTCATATCAACTCTCGACATTTACTGTATCTAAAGTTCTGTACTCCTGGCAAGCTACGGCCTTTCAGGGACACGCCCCACCTGGCATGTCCCTTGATGTCTGCAGCCAGGGAGGTGTAGACGCCACAGAACTGCCTGGGAAAGGTGAAGACCCAAGTCCCGAGCCATTCAAATGGTCATACGCTCTTGGTATTGGGTTCAGTTGTCTGCCATTGATGGTCTCTGAACTGGGGGGAAGTCTGGGAAAGGAAAAAATTGGCTTGTCTGTTCAGGCACGCAGGAGCCAGCCCCACAAAACGAAGGGCGCTGCGACCTTCCACGAACCTGCAAAGGATGTCCAAGTGGCGAAACCAAGAGATTGAAAAAGAAGCTGTAGACCATCATCATGAACAGGAGGACGACCTAATTGGATCGGAAAACCACCAGCACATTGGATGCGGTGTTTTGATCTACAAACTTTAAATCATGCTCAATTAAGAAAAAAATCACATACCGTCCTCAGCCATGGGCCTCTGTTAGCTGCGACCAGCTGAACAATGTAACAAGCGGCACTTTTTCTATTTGTTCGCGCATCTTCGCGCATGGCCTGGCTTTAGGAAGCTTTCCGAACCAGAACGCCAGAAAACAACCCGCAACACATCGCCGTTTCCTCGGGTTTGGGGGTGTTTTTGGGAGACGTCTGCGGCTCCACCGAGGCGCGATGAGCAACAAAGGGCTCTGCTCGGCCAGGCCCTGAATGGCGCCCTCAGCTCAGTTTGGTGCACTCTGCCAGAGGGCCTAGACCTAGACCCAAGTGAACTGTGGAGCAACAAAGGAAACACCATGCCAAATGCAAGACTCCATGAGAAGAACACAGACTTTGCGTGGAAGCATTTGGAAACCTTTGGATGTTTCAAGATCCTGCAGGCTCCATCTTGGCTCCAAGTGTCCAAGTCCATAGCTCCAAAGGCCAAACGGATCAGAGTGCTCATCCTGGACCCCAAGTCTGCCCAATCCTCAGCTCTAGAATCGTCACCCCCAAACTGGATCGGACAATGCGTTGCCAACATCAAATATGGAAATGCTTCCGCCTACAGTCGAATTGCCCATCATGCCCCACGCATGGTGCGACAAAAACGTCGAATTGCCCATCATGCCCCACGCATGGTGCGACAAAAACAGCACTAGCAAGGACTAGCGCGGGGTGAGTTTCACAGGCGCTTACCCATCATGCCATGCCAGCTTGAGTTTATCATTGGGATGTTGTGGGTTCCGCATCTGTTGCACTCGGAAGTTTAGACAATGCCAACGAACGAGGGATACGTTTTCCGACAAGTAAAATGACATGCATGCATACGCCCCACTAGTTCTTCCTTCTTGTTTCTTAACGAGGAAGTTGGTTGAACAACTGTTTCCTCGTAAGTTCGGGACAAAGTGTATATATATATATAGATACACTTCGCTTGATGAGGATTAATTATATAAATTCCACCCTGGTCGACCACATTTTATACCAAAACCTCAAGTTGGGACACGAGTGACTTCGAGTAGAAAACACATGGGTCAAGAAACTCCTGCACCGCCTATATCCCCTTCCACCAATCGATAAATACGGGTGCCTCAAGTTTGGAGAAAGAAGAAAAACGCCGATGCTTTTCATAGTGTTCCTTTTCTCATGGCTCTAGTCGGAAGGGCATAGCAATCTTGGTGAGATGTTGGTTCCCTTCAATCAAGATGACAAAAGGACTGTCAAGCCTCCTGCACTGTCTAGTCGTATAAAAACTTTGTACCCCTCGTTTCCCCCCGTTTGTCATATTGAGGCATGTTTATTGTAGATCGCCATTACTCCACCATGCGTCGGCACCAGTCACGGCAGCTACCTGCAGGCTGGTAGGCGGTCTCCAAACTCTCGAAACGACAGTTAGCTTTCAATCAGTAGGTTTAGACACCTTAAAGCTTATATAGTCGTTATATTATACAATATATATATATATTTATATACCTTGCTTGTCATCTTTATTTCTACAAACTTAAGCCAAAACTCATCATAAAACCCTCTCTGGTCTGAGCGCACCTTAGTCAGTGACTTAGGCATGTATACAACACAAGATAGAACACTTGTGAGTTTGCAGCTTCTCCCTCTCCAGCCCTCTGTTGATATATGAGAGCATTTTTTCTTTCTGTCGACCCTTTAGCACGTCCAAAGTAACAAACTCCTTCTTTGCTCATCTAGGTTGTGGCCTCGCGTTCCATGCCGGAGATGGCAACAGCGAAGGTAAAAATGATGAGGAAAACCACGCCCAAGCACAAAATCACCTGCGCAAGAAGTCGGCACAACCTGTTTGAAGCTCACAAAATGTCGTTTCAAGTTCGGAGAAATGATCTTCCAGAGCATTTTGGGACTTGAAGCATTGCACAAAAACTGATGTTCATCCCCTCTCGACCACTTGAGTCCTGTGAACTCATCATCTCAGCCACGGCCGGGACTGACTCCCGCACCTGTTGAATGGCATGCGTCACAAGGACTCCATACTCTGAAAGCTTGATGGAGATGCTACCCATCTCGAGGATGAGAGTCACATACCTCGCGAAGAATAGACACAAATGAGCAACGGTCATTTGATCGGCGACTTGCCGCGGATACCCTATCATTCCGTTTGGAGACCTTCTCGTTCTCCACAGGTTTGGCGTGGTTTGGTGTGTTTCCAACTCTTACAGCCACTGTCCATCAAGTTCTGCTTCAGCTTCTCAAGCGGCCTGCCAATTCTGACTTGCCTTGATCTAGCACCATGTATTTAACAAAAGAAAAATGAAAGAACACGGTATCATTTAGGCATCGTTCTGGGCAACCTTTTCAGCAGCAAACGTTGGCCGACATGGTTGGGAGATGTTGGGAGTGTAACGAGACAGAATACCTATAATAAGGGGGCATGTGCTACCAGGTCTGCAGCGAACCTTGTGTTGGACATTGGGATCAGCAAAGGTCAAACGACTCAATAACAGGTGGCCAGGCTTTCTGACAGAGTTTGGGTACAAAGCTACAAGACACAGCACACCCTTGCAAACACAACACTGGCCGAGTTGTAATGCAATGAGCATTAATAAGGTATCGCTGTTTCTTGGATACCCTATTGTTTTGCAAGGCGTTGCTGCCATTAAGCATGGGCAATTGACTAAAATCAGCATGCGCAGGTTCTGATCGACGCTCTAATGGCACACATGCACAAATGGCAGAAGTTGAGGTGCACAGACTCCCCACATCTTTGGTTTGGTGATGTTTGATGATGTCAATAAACAATGGCAGCGTGCGGCACATGGCACCCAACAGAGGTGGTTGACATGGTGTAAAGGTTGGTGCTATCTTCTCTCTCAAATCGCTGTGGATGAGAACCCGGGTTTTGTAGGCCAAGCGGCAGGAAGACACCAAAGGTCACCAAGATTTCGTAGGCCAAACCTTCAGCATGCGAGTTTTGAGGGCTGAGCGAACTCTCGATCGGTAGGCCGGCTTGTTTGCATGTGCTCAGTGCTTACCTCCCAAAAGAAGAACTTACTCTACTTGCACAAGAAAGGGCCTCAAGAAGCTTCTGTTCACCTGGTCATTTGTTAAGACCTAGCCACCCTGGCCGCATCTGGCCGCCCTAGCTGCCACGCAATTGCTTCCAAGTGGCTCATCTGGTCCGTCCAGCCATCGCAACGGAAAGAGAAGACCTCCTGCGGCGGTCAAAATGGCTTAAGAGCACCCAATAAGATAAGTCCTCAAAGTAACCGATAAGTCCTTTGTTTGGCCACCCAAACACAGCTAGCATGGAGATCCTTCGTCTTCTGGGTGGGGTGAAGAAAACGGGATTCTGAGTGATTTTCCCGTGATTTTCACCGTATGCACATGAGCATGGATTGCATCGAGGAAAAACACTTTCAGGAAAGGTCAATGCCAAAATGGGACAACTGATCCTAAAATGAAACCGCATGGACAGAAATGTCGCTGCAACTCTTTAAAGCTATGAAGCTTGCCATCATTCACATGTACTTGAGGAGTGAGTAAGGTGTTGCTCACTTCTGGCTGACTAAGGCAGGGAGATGATATCATCTATGGTAACAGGTAGAAACTGACCAGCAACATATAGCAACATACAGTACAAGTGTTAAACCAACATACAAGTTCAAACAGTGAAGCAAAGTAGAAACCAACTACCTCAAACATAAACAGACCGCCAGCATGAATGAACAAACATGACAACCCAAGTGTGCACATCACAACAGCTTTTTCACAACAATCTTGCTCGATGAATCCATTGACTTTCTCAACTGTCCCACTCACACAGTCCCTCTCTCGGTCTCTCTCAGCCTTACTTACAAAGGGCTTAAAACTTAAAAATCACTAAGACATTCCTAGCACCAGCCCACTAAGCACCAAGAGATTGTAGACTTTGTAATGACCGACCAGCCTCTGTAGCGGTGAGAGGGAGAATAACAGCCCAGGCGACCATCCCCGCCTCCGAGGACCCCATGCAATGGAACATGGGCTCCACCTCGGCGGAGCGGAAACGCGCCAAGCGAACCCGAAAAACGCCAAAAAAGGTTTGTTTTTTCTCATCCAGCCTCTCAAAGCACGTCTTGACTCCCAAAAGGCTTTAGTCATCTTTAGTCCATGATGTTTTTTTCAGCCGTTGCTGATGGCACTAGAGCCAGTATACAAGATCCTCTCCGAGGGCATGCGATCTGATGGGTTGAGCAATTGAGCAATCTTGGAATCTTGTCTATGATCCCCAAAACAAAGGTCACCAATCAAAGAAAAGCTCCAAGTGAGCAAAAAGCACATGGCAACGGCGAATTGCGAATTGCACCACTGAACTGCCGTGCGCAATGAACTGCCGTGCCTCCGACCCCACATTCATTCAGCATGAAAAACCATGCAGAAAGCAGGTGTCAAACCTTCCCAAATCGCAGATCTTCAGCTCACTCAATTCCACACCCACTGCCACGCACGCGAATTCCATGCCCCTGAGTTTCCGCGCGGTCATCATGGCCAACATGGTGAGGCAAAGCAGCAAGCTGATTTTCGCTGCGCCACGCGTGAGGTACTGAGGCAACCACAGCCCGCAGCCTTTCACCAACGCCTTCAAAGCGCCGTGCGAAACGGGCTGTTTCAACGCTGCTTGAACGTGGGTCGGCCAAGCTGAGTGATGTTGCTGTTCCGGTCCAGAGAATTCCATTTGATTCAACATAGCTAAATGAACAGATTTTCAAACAATGATTTATTTTAATCTTTGCACACAGTGTGATGATACGAGATGGTGTTAGGAGATTGTCACAGGGCACCACTCAATACTCCAAGCCACAATGAATCACACAAAAAATCACTTTGCTTCTGAGTGCCGGGCAGGGAACAGTCATGCACCATGTCAAAGTGGAACCTCTGTTTCCGGCACTTCCGTCCTATCGTCCTCTGATCACAAGTTGGCCTGGTAGGTCCTGCATGACCTGTGTCCGGTCAAACTTGCCGGAGCACTGTCCGGCCAAAATCGCAAAAACGAGCGGCTGCGCCTTGGACCTGTAGGCGATGAAGGTTTGAGAGATGTGCCAGTAGAGCAAGCGTAAGAAGCCCACGGTGTAGACCAAGAACCGAGCCGCCGCCAAGATTTTACTGGCCCTCGGACCGCCAAATACATTGACATGAAGCCAAACAGCCCAATAATTAAACACAAAATCATCGACGTGTGCGGGTGGGGCGGGTGGCAACAGGCAAAAACAATTGCTGACCATATGCATATAATTAGTATAATACGAATATAATATCGATAATATATATATATATTAGTATATGTTGGGACTTGGGCTGCATGATTTTGCAGTTTAGCACTTGAACAAGGATGATGCTTGTTTCTCAGACTTACATGATGATCTCTGGCTGAAACTGCCAGCCGGTCTCCGACTGGCACATAAATGTGCAAAATGATGCAACATGATGCAACAAACTCTTCAATCTTGTAAAGCAAAGGCTTCAGGGACCTTTAACATCCTTTAACCCCATCCCGAAATGCTCCCAGCATGCTGAGCACTCGCCGCATCTAGCAATCTGCCTTCGGCATACGCCTGTGCCAAGGCGCGTAGGGTCTACCAGCATGTCCGGATGGTTCAGGAAGCCTCGATCGAATCGAGGAACGCGGCGAGGAACCTCGCGGGTTCGTCTCCGGGTCTTCGTTCCCAGAGAGCGCCTTATTGGAAAGAATCAATAAGGTTATTGGTTTACATCTGAGTTATTGAAATGGTTGTTTTATTGGAGCAAACCAATAACCTTATTGGTTGTTATTTCAATAAGGTTATTGGTTTGTACCAATAAGGGTTTCAATCTTTAACCAATAAGCCTTATTGGTTGCTTCTGGCACATGTTGTAAGTAAGTGTTGATGTTAAACCAGAAATTGGCCCCACCAGTTCTTTGTGGCTCCAAGTCTTTCTTGCCAAAGGATGAGCCCTGTGAAAGGGCAGCCCTGTGAAAGGGCAGTGACAAGTGTGGAAATAGATGGGTTAGATATGGTGGGAAGGCCTCCCACCACTGATAAAGAAAGAATCCAAGCCTACTGGCAATACTTGGATTGCCCAACGCAGGGCTGCAATGGATGGCTGTGGAGGAGGCACACTACTGATGCAGAGTGGGGGATCAGGTGCTACAAGTGTGGGAAGAGTTGGAGGGATACCTACCTAGAACATGGGTGGAAGCTGTGGGACCCCAAGAATAAATCCAGATATGTGCCTTGAACTGACAGCTCCAGCTGCCTTGAATGCACTGCAAAAGTGCTGCCCTGAAGAAGGGCTGCCCTGAAAAAGGGCAAAAGGCAAGACAAACAAAAACACAACAGTTTTCACATGAAAAATGACAGGGGTATGGGGGAGTGTGTTGTCAGTGTTCTTAGTAGAATTTGCAGCAGCTTGTTTGTGGATGCAAACCTGACAACTTCACACTTCTGCAGCTTTGTCTTGTTCAAAATTTCCAGGCACTCAGAAGGGTGTTGCCTGACAGCCTTGCAGAAGGGTGCCTTGTGAAAAGGCAAAGCCTTGTGAAAAGGCCATGGTGCTCAGGAAAGCAGTCAAAAGAGGAGCAGGAGCTGGAAACAAAAACCCTGTCAAGAGACAGGGTTTTCCTGACTGTGACCAAGACAAACTAGATGAGGCCATTGACTGCTACATCAGGTCCATGGGTGTGGCAGCCAGCTTTGACCTCCTGGAGTACAAACACTTACAAGCCCAACAAGCTGAGCAGCCAAAAGCTGTATATAAGTTGCACAAACTTGTGGAATCACTCTTGAAGGTCAGTCCTTCTGGGCAAATTAAGTATGAACAGCTGAGGCAAGCCTTGCAAGTGGCTTGCAACAGGTTTGGTGTGGAACTTTTGTCTCCACACTGGCCAGTGGAGTCCCAGTGGAGAGGCACATCTAGCAGGAAGGGCTGCAGATGCCCTATGTGTGTTGCTGAAACACTGGAGGAGGCTGACAGCCTCCCAGACTGCATGGGAGAAGTTTGGCAGGAAGCTTGAGGAAAGCCATTTCTCCCAGCTCCAAAGTCTTCCAGAATGATGAAGCCTGGGGGTTGTGAAAAGGAAAAAAGAGAGCTCACAGCACATGAGTGAAGTGACAGTGGATTCCTCTGGCCTGCCTGCTATGTTGAAAACTACCAGTGAGGAAGGTGATGAAAGCAGCCCAAGCTGCCCAGATTGTGACAGCAAGGACAGCCTGTTTGCTAGTCAACCCCCTGCTGGAAAACATCTTTGGAGGGCGAAGGCAGGAAAACCTGTGAAGAAAAGACCTGCCAAGAAGACATCTCCCATGAAGACATCTCCCATGAAGGCAGCTCACATGAAGGCTGCTGCCATGAAAGCACCCACCAAGGGTAAGCAAAAGAATGCAGGGTTGGCAGGTGGAGCAACAACCAGGATCCGCACTGCAACCCTGAGTGTTGGAGGTGGAAAGAACCAGTCATACATACAACATGTGCCAGGACCAGGCAATGCAAAGAGACTAATTGTAGCTTGCACAGGCAAGCAGGCTGCATCCCTCAAAGTCTCTCACAAGGCCATCATAGAAGAGTTGCTGCCCAAGTGGAAGGTCCCCAACACCACAAAGGGTGATATCCTCAAAGCTCGAGATGGCCTTTTCAAGAAATATGAAAAGTGAAGCCTTGCTCTACAGGCTCAGCCCTGCAAAAGGGCAGCCCTGCAAAAGGGCAGCTGTGCTATGCTGGTTTTGGTGCAAGCCTCCTTGCAAAAATGGCAGGCTGGCAGCAGGCAGCTTCAAGAAGCTTAGCCTCTTGCCTTCTGGAAAAAGCTTACCCCATTACCCTTTTGGAAAAAAGTTTCCTTCTTTTGTCATGAATAGAAAGCCTACTACATGTGTCATAGCAATATGTGTTCTGAATGTGTTATGTGCAATGTGTGTATCTGAACCCTTTCTCCATGCAGCTGCTTTTGTTCAAGCACTGACACACTGTCACAGTTTGATTGCAATTTCTTTTGTGGTAGCCTTGAAAAAAGGCAAAGCCCTGCAAAAGGGCAGAGCCACAACATGGACGATGATGAACCTGACTTTGGTGGTGATGGAGATGAACTTGAAAATATAAAAGATACAAAAGTGGAAGCCACTGTGGAGAAGTCACCACCAACAAGTGGTGACAACACAAGCCAGCAACCTCTCAGGAGGAGCTCCTCTGAGCATAAACAAATGAAAGATGAACCAGGTGAAAGGGGCGAGAAGTGGCAGCCCAGGGATTCATGGGAAGACTATGACTATGACTCCTGGGATGAGTGGAAAAGGGATGTGGGAATGGTGGGGCAACAAGAAGTGGTCCAACTCAAAAGGTGACAACTGGAAGCCTGCCCATGGCTGGCACAGCTGGGGTGGTGACAGGCACAGCAGCACCAAACAAGGTGGAAGCACCACTAGTGGTTCCTCAAAAGAAAGGAGAAGGCTGCAGCTCCTGGATGAACAGTACCCTGATGCTGATGAAGACACCAAAAGGCTGGCAGCCATGGGAGGTTCCAGGTTCAGAAGACTGGAAAGGAGGCTGGTAGAACAAGAAGAGGAAAGAAAGAAGGCAGAACATCTGCAACAGTTGGAGCAACAGGTGAAGCAGCTGGAGGAATGCAACTTGCAATGGCACTGGTTCTTCCAACAGCAGCAGCAGCACCAACAGCAGGCTGCATGGCATGCAGCTGCTTGGCAAGCTCAGGCCCAAGCCCAGGCAACTTCAGTGCCACAACAAGGCCCAACATTTTTTCCATTTCCATGCCCTAAAACACACAATGCTAGTTCAATGATGTGTATCACATGTTTGCTGCTGCCTTGCCACTCCTCCATGTCCATGCCAGTTGAAATTTGTGACATATGGTTGCTGTGCCAGCTGTCTTTTCCTGACCAGGTGGGCCCAAGGTAGCTGCAAAGGGAGCTGCAAAAAGACATGGCCAAGATGCACCTCACAGTTCCAGCTCCACCTCAGTGTCAAGCTCACAGTCTGGCACAGGCAAAGGCCTGCCTGTACATTTGTGTGCATTTGTGTGGATGCAGTCAATATGTTTTGCAACCCTGTATCTATTTGTTCTATTTTTGGGCAGGTATGGCCAAGGAAGCACCAAAGGCCAAATCCAGAGCCACCTATGCAGATGCAGTGGGGAAGGCACCAAATGATCAGAGGAGAAAAAAAGAAAACCCCCAGGTGGTGAACTCTGACAAACTGAGCCCTGGAAAAGGGCCACCAGAGCCCTGCCAAAGGGCCACTCCCTGCAAAAGGGAAATCAAAAGATGGCTGCAGCTGGGGCCTCACAGTGGCATGTGTGATGGGAAAATGTGAAAAAGGTCAAGTGGTGCATGGGTGATCCCTGGTGGGATTACAGGGGTTTGGCCACCAAGTTCAATAAAGGTGTTCATGGGCATTTTGGAAGTCCAGTCATGCCTCATTGGCCACTTCTGGAACTTTTTCATGCGCCTGTAGAGCTGGGCAGGTGGTTTGGTTCCAAGTGATGTGAGGTGCCTTCACCCACTGGCAATTACTTGTAGGAAATGTTTGGGGTGTCTTCACCCACACACATTTCCTTCTAGAAATTTTTGGTGCCCAAAAGAATCCAACCTAGTGGAAAATATTTTTTTGAAAAAACAAATCTGGTCCAAAAACTTGTGCCCATCATATCCCATCATATGATGTCATATGATGGTGAATGCCATCATATGATGGCCCAAACCCATCATATGATGGCCCCAACCCATCATATGATGGGTGTGGCCATCATATTGCAGCATATGATGTCATATGATGGGTGGGCATTTTTTGCAGCCATTTTGATCAAGCTCAAATACTCTTGCCCTGGACAGGGCATTTCTGAAAGTTGTGCCCTGCAAAGGGACATCACCAATGGGGAAAGCCATGAAGGCAATGAAGGCAATGAAATCTGGAGTCAAGAAAAAGGTGAAAAATGAAAGCCCTGAAAAGGGGCACAGCCCTGGAAAAGGGCCAAAAGGCATTTTGAAAAGGCCTAGCACAAAGCCAAGCCTCCCTTTGCCCAATGATGCTGGGCTCTCCCTTGATGAGAAGATGGAGCAGTTCAATAAGAAGACCAATGGAAACACCCAGGAGTTCCTTGACAATTTGACTGGCCCACAGAGGGAAGCCTTGTGGGGCAGGTTCAGCAGGGCCAGAAAGGCTGTCAAGGACACAAAGCTGGACAGCTTGTGGGACAAGCGCTGCAAGGGGGAGGGCTCAGACCCTCACAAAAAGCAGTTGATGGCAATCTTCCTCAAGACCAGGGGCAAACTTGCAAATGGCAACATGTATGCCAAAGAGCTGCTGGAGATCTCTGAGACCACTGGTGTCTTGGTTGTTTCTGTGTGCTCTTCAATCTTTGGGTTTGTTTCTTCTTGCCACAGCTGAGGCAGCAAGGAGACATCTGAGTGGGTGCCATTTGCTGTCACCCTACAGAGGTTTGGCTTGAGGGAGTCGGTGAGGAGGGTGCTCTGACTGCTACTTTCCCAAGCACACCTAGTGCCACATAAATGCCACATGTGCATTCTGATTCTTTCTCAGGTCCCAAGAGGGACAATCCTATGCAGGAAGGACACAAAGGACCTGGCAGAATGGCAGTTTGCCTTGGAGAAGGAAGTTGCTTTCAAAGAAACAAAGACCCACCATGCTGCCACTTTTGAAGCCAACCAGAAGATGGAGGCTCTGGACTGGATCAAAGCCAGGCAGCATGGGTCAATGGGTGTTGAAGATGGCTTTCAAGCTGAAGATGCCTTGTCTGATGTACTTGGCAGCAGAGACAAGAAAAACATGAAAAACAAGGAGACACTGGCTTTGATGGACAAGGACAGAAGTGATGAGGAAGAAGAGGAGGAAGGGGGAGAACCAAACCAGGTCAGTGCAAAGGCTGCACTCAACAAAGCAGTGGAAGATGCAGAGGTGCTGAGTGACCTGGGCAAAAGCAAAAGTAAGGATCAGGCAGCCAAAAGGGTTCTCAAATGACCAAAGTGATCAAGGATGTGAAGAAGCAGGCTGACAGTGCAGGGCAGAAGATCCTTGGTGCTGCCCTTGCAGAGCTAGAGAAGCTGTCCAAGAAAGGAACCAGCTTAAATTTGGAAAGCTGCAAGGACACTCTCTTGGATGCAGCTGCAGAAGGATGCAAAAAAGTGAAAGACACATGCAAGCTTCTGCCTTGAGAAAAGGCAATGCCTTGAAAAAAGGCAAAGTCCTCTGCAAAGAGCTTTGCAAGCCACCTGGCACCTTAAGATGGAAAACCGTGTTCATATGTGATGGCAGAGGGTTGGCTTCAGTCAGCCTTTTTTGAACCAACACCATGTTTCTGCATGTTTCCCTTTTATGAAAGCCTGTAGGCTCAAATACAGGAACATGCGCTGTAGCTCTGCACTAGAGCAGCCCTGGAAAAGGGCAGCCCTGCAAAAGGGCAGTATAGATGTCTAAACGGAAAAAAGAAAATATGAAGCAACAAGTGCCAACACCTCTCCAGAGCAGGAGCTTACCCCATTACCCTTTTGGAAAAAGTTTCCTTCTTTTGTCATGAATAGAAAGCCTACTACATGTGT